TCTAAATGCAGTTTCAGCATTCCCAGAACTAGAAGGACACGTCTCTTGAGCAACGGCTGCTTCCTGACTGATTCATAAGGATTCCGTGTCAAGGGTGGCACAAAGCAAGCCCCACTGTTACAGCAGGGAGAGCAGAAGGCTGACGGGAGCCAAGCGTGATCACTGAAAGACACTTTGAGAACTGCGCCAAAAATTAGTCTGCGAACACCACCACTGTTCACACAGTGAGACTTTTAGATGCCACACAAATTCAAAGGCTAATAATAAGAAGTTGACTGATGAATCTCACAGCATATATTATCTTAAAGAAATACTGCATCTTCCAGTCAAGCAATGAGAGTGTGAAAGTGGGAACAAAGAATTGGTACCAGAAAGTAACATCTCAAATACTGCCATTTTGTCAAAGCCAGCTCACTGGCTCCAAATTACTCTGAAATGAAAATGCAGAAGTACCTTAAACCTGAAACAGCAGTACCTTAAGCTTTGTGCATAACCGACAATCAAGCTTGTTACTGCTGCTTCCAGGGCAATCCAAGACAATCACTAGTGGCCGTGAAAGTACCTCAGAAAACTGAAGCTTTGAGAAATCTTGTTTTCAGCTGGACAGCATATGCTTCCTGCAACCTCAGTGAGAGGGGATTGATAGGTATTTGCCTATTGTAACAATTGCAAGAGCTGGAAAATAAGAGTTTCTCTTATTCTACACAATACACACACCAGTTGCATAGTAGCTACTACTGCACACTTTCAGACAATATTTGATCTTACAGCACATTTCAAGTACACATTCAAGACAGTTCTCAATGTCCAGTTAATCAACATTCACTGCAAAAGAGTAAATCTTCAAGTTCTCCCTGTACACTGTTCATTTAAATAACTAGTAAGAGTTGCTTAAAATAAGAATTGCTTCAAAAGCAGAACCTGCTCAATCTCAGGCAGAAGCACCACCTCTCCTGGTTTACTATTTACAGTCCTCAACTTTGGAAGATCAGGGAGAAGTGTCATCACTTTTTAAAAATCAATGTAAGATGATCATTGTACCTTCAAGCTGGCAATCATTTTGGCAGAGCACATATTATTGCAAGTCCACATTATGTATGACTATTCACCTGACTATCTCCCAACTATAATGTACAATTACTGCATGCATACACACATCTAACAAAGATCCTTGCAGCAAGACACTGAAAGGACAGCCTTGCTGGAAGTAAGACTTACTGGTTTTCCAGTAAGTCTCTGGGTAAACATCAATCCATATGCATCAGTGAAGAGGATGCCTGGGTTCAGCAGAGAGGCATACATAAAACAACTCCTTTTCTGAGCCCATAGGCCAGGTATAAAGTTAACAGATGACTAGACAGAAGAATAAAAGCACTGTTAACAGCTTTCTAGCAGCTAGACTAACATCTCATGAATTGGCAGAAGTTTATGTTCCATATCAAACACTTTGAAGAGGATTTCAGAAAAGGCTACTGACACTTTCTTATAGGAGAAGGCATAAAAGTACTCAAGGGCGACGAGATAGCTGAATCCAAAGAGATAAGCAGGGAGGCCACAAGCAGTAGGGTGACAGATAGCACATACCAAAAACTAGAGGGAGGATCTAGCGGAACCCATTACACTGCCCATCCCATACATCAAAAGCAGTCACAGAAGCAACATAGATAAGCTTCTGTTTACTTATTAAGTGGAGCCGAGTGAAATATTTCAGAAAAATATATTATCTCCTTACCCGCCTCAAGCCAGGTCTTTCCATCCACTGCTCCACACTCTGCTCCCATCTATCTCCCCAAGGCTGAACAAGTTACTTCTTTCTTGTTCCTCCTCATTTTTGCATGCTTACTATCTTTACCCTGACAACCATCCCAAAATACTACAGCATACTTCCTGCTGCTCTAGACTCAAACATTAATTCAACAAAATTATTACCCATGTCTGGATGTAACCTAGTATCCTCCAGTACTGGTAGTACAGAACTCTCACAGAAACTACAAAAGCAAGCTCAGCTCTTGACTTTATAAACTGTGCAATCAATCTGTATCTAGTAATTGCAATAAATCTAACTCAGGACTTCTGTACAGAGAAGCAACACTTTCATAAGAAAAAGCACTCAGCTTCTGAGCAGATGACCAGTTTGAGAAGCTCCCTTCCTTAACAAGCCTTCACTTTTCAGCTGACTCTCCAATACTATCAGTTCTTAACTAGAAAAGTGGTTCTGCAGAGAGGTACTCTGAAGGGACAAAAGGAGCCCCTTCACCCAAATATCATAAAGAACTGTGTGGGGAGAGCTACAACTCCAGCTTATTACTCCTGTTCATGCAGGATTACCCATTGGTCATGTGCCTCCTTTAGCCAAAAGATCAGAGAATTACATGAATTAGGGAAGAATCTTTGAGAAGTACAGATGTCTGAAACAGGACTTGCACCACCTGCAGGTTCATTCTGCGGAGCGGGACCCTGAAACTAAGCCTCAGATCCTTGAGGGTCTCAGTGGGGAAAGTTTCACCACCTGAAAAGATCTTTGGCATCTAACACCCACCGGAACTGGGTCACCAAAGCTTAAAGACAAGCCTAAGATGCTGGTCAGCTAAGTATGAAACAGTGGTATTTCAGCACACAAGAAGTTAGGAGTTGCTCTGAGGATTTATTAAGCCAGCTTGACTGCAGCATCCTCTCAGCTGATGCATGCCAGAAGATCAGCATCTGCTACATCCTAGTTAATCTTCCACAAGTGGTTTTCAAATTCCACCACTGTCTGACAGTTGCACTTCCAAGAGTTGAAGGCTGTGCTTTTAAGAATGCAAGTTAGGGCCTTCATTTCCTTTGTAACTTGGGGCATTTTAGCTCAGTTTGCCGACTCAGTTTCCTCCAAGGAGGAAAAGAGGAAGCTTCTGTCTTGTAGAATGGAGCAGGACTGTAAAAAACATAATTTCTTTTTTTTTTTTTTTTCAAAGACCGTTACCTCAGTTAAATTACTTTTGAAATGGTGTAACTGACAGCAAAACCAAAAGCAGTCTAGGAGTTCTGCAGACCTCATCAGAGCCCGAATTTGACAAAGGGACTCCCAGCAGCAAGTGACCAGGAGGCTGCAGCACAGCCTCCCCCCGCCTCACTCCAAGAAATTCCGCCGCTCGCAGCGACTCGGCCCAACGGCGCCGGGCCCTCCTCCCCCCGCAGCCCCGGGACAGGCGGCATCACCCACCCACCTGACCCACCAACCGCGGGGAGCGGCTCGGCGGGGTGCCCCGGCGGCCTCCCCGCCACCCACAGCAGCGGGCAGCCGCGGCTCCCCCCGAAAACCCCCTCTCCCGAGAGGCACAGGCGCCCGCGCCAGGCCCGCCCTGCCCCCGGGGGTGCTACCCCGCGGCCCCGGGCCGGGCCATTCCACGCCATTTCACGTTCACCTCGGGACGGCCTGCCCCACCCGCCGAGGGCAGGGCCGAGCCAACCCCGCCGAGGGAAGCGGCAGGAGCCCCACACGGGTGCTGCCTCCGGAGAAGCCACCCCGGCCGGCGCCGCTCCCCGCGCACCCAGCGGCCGCGGCCCCGCCCGGCCCCTCTCCCGGGCTCCCCCCCTTACCTTCCGCCATCTTGGGTCCCGGGCCAGCCGCTCTCGCGAGAGCCGCCGCCCGCCCCGCCGCCCGAGCTCGGCGTTCTCGCGAGACTAGAGCCCCGCCCCGCCCCGCCCCGCGCCGCGGCGGGGGCAGCCCGGCCCTCAGCAGCCGGCGGGGCCCTCCCGCCTCGGCTCTGCGCCTCACAGCGCCGGCGGTTGGTTGCAACAGCTCGAGGGGGCTCCCTTTGCCCCCCCCGCCTCCCCCTGCCCGGGTGAACCCCCAGGTGTTGGCTCTGGAAGAGCGCGATGGCCGCGTTTGCAGCAGAACGCCGTCGGAGCCGGAGGGCTGGGAAGGAAAACGCCCCTTACCAGGGAAAAACGCGGCCGTGGCGTCACCTGCGGGTCCCCCGGAGCCGCCGGCGTGCGCTGCTTTTAGCCCGCTGCAAAAGCAACGCGTGCCCTTTCCTGCTCACCCGGTTCCCGTATGGCTAATGGAAGTGCCAGCGTGGGGTTGCAGTGGGATGGGGTGTCCAGCACGCAGCTGTTTGCTGGTGCCGTCCCGCCTTCGCTGCCGGCACTCGCTGCTTTTGTTTCAGTCAGCAGCCCCGGCAAGTGCATCTGTGCCCCGCGGGTAACAACTGTGGTTGAGAGTCGAGACACACAGCGACCGGGGAACAGCAACAAGCTCATTTTCTCAAGCCGTGTGTACAACGCAGGTGACCCTCGGTTGTTGTCAGTGCTCATGGTCTTTCCTGCCTAGATGCAACAGAAATACCAAAATACACTTACAAAACAGTTCTTTTATTTGCTTTAAAGAGCAAGTTTCAAATATTTGAGCAAATTATGCACAGTATTGTTTTACAGACATAATTTTCTCCGGACTTTGTCATTAAGTGATTTTTGAAGTTGCTCTGCCTCATGTTTTCCGTGCCTGCTAGATAAAACAGCAAAACCAGAATTAGGGCTAGATCTAGGACAGCCACAGACTATAGTTTCTGTGGGTCATAAAACACGACCTATCTAATTTTTCACAGCTCAATGACTGCTACACAGCTAACTTACACCACTGCTTTATGGGTGCTGTTGAATCTTGAGTAACTGTGAGGAAACAGTTACTACTGCCTGATCAGATTTGGTCTTAGTTGAATTTTTGAGTAACAACAGAGATCAGATTTCAAACTGAGGAATCTGCAATCTCATCTTTTGTTGATTTGCCTGGGCAGGAAGCTGTCTTATTACACCCTCTCTTTAAAACCCAAGCACCTTCCTTCTGGTATGGTTTGAAATCACTCGTGCACGCTTCTGAAGACGTGCAGAAATTATGAGACCTGTGGTGCTCGTGTTTGCACTGCGATGGCGCTGCACTGAGAGCAGTGCACCAGATGGTACAGACACAATAAAAGTCCATCCCCCCACTGGCCTACCAAAAAAAACAAATACTCTTATAATCACTTAAGAATTAATGCTCTCCATTTATTGATCGTCTAGTTTCAGTAAGCAATTTCTAGGCATCACAGCAGGAAAGAATTTTAGCACGGCAGCTGAACAGCCCTTCTAATTTTTACAGAGATCTTTTCTGATGCATAAGGGGCAGCATGGAGAAACATGAAAAAGGAATTAAGATGGCTGTACTACTTAGATATTTACTAAAATTCCATGCTTTGTTTTTCCTTTTTCCCCAGTGATGCAGTGTTATCTGGAAAACAGGCCACCACGTGCTGGGGGGAAAAACAGAACAAAAACTCATCCATAATTACAACCCTCCAGCAATCCAGAAAAAGTGTAACTGATGATCCAGCAAGCTGACATCCTACATAAACTACACTAGATACAAGAGCTTGATACAAGTGAAACTGAGTAAGAATGCTGGTTTACTCAATTGTTCAACAAATGCTCTAGTACTACTTGTACATACTGCATCTCTCCATTGGTGTTCCTACCTTGAGACTACACAGAAATTTCTGGTCACATCGGTAACCACCATAGGCAGATCCCTTTAATGTGTCAGGCAAGAACAAACAAAAAGCCAACTGTGATCACAGAAGAGTTAAATGGGCCATTTCTGTGCCTGCCAGAGGCTTTCTACAACCTGGACATTTGGCACCAGACCCTTGGCTGCCTCTTTCATTAAGCACTAGGCATTAGCCATACCTGCAGCTCATACCTCTTAACAGTATCCCACAGTAACACTCCTTCCTTTGGAATATTTGGGTCATGTGGAATATCGAACCATCTGGGTAAGCCAAACAGAAGTGGGTTTATATTTGAGTAATTCACAAAGAGGGGAACCAACACTGCTGTGGAATTAACAGTTCTTCCATACCACTGATGCAAGACTAACATTTCCAGGCCTACACCTTAAAAGAACGAACAAGCAGCTCTTCTAGAGAATAAATGAGAAAAAGAAAGCTTTAAACTATTTAGTGAAGTTTACAGATGAGTCAGTTGTGAACTGTATGTGTTACTATGGAATACAAACCGGAGAACACCATTGAACTTGCTGAAAGCAGCAAGTACCAATTACCTTGAATCGCTGCCAGCTCTTTAAATACACTGTGGCAAGGCAAAAGGGGGGGCAGCCTGTCAAGGAAAAAGTCCACTGCTAGATTTTGGAAGACAGGCTTGTTCCCTGTGTTTTGTTTATAGAAAGAAGGGCACCACACCACTGAAATTCTGCACAATCCCAACTCTTGGATAAGCAAAAAAGGGTAGTCAGCTGGTGGGCACGAAACCTCCTCCCAAGCAATTTTAGACAAGCATTCAAATGGGAACTAAAAATCATCTACTGTGGGCACCAATAGCTCTGAAGTGTTGCACACTACTGCCTGCCTATACTAAAAGCAATTTTAACTAATGATTTCTCAAAATAATTGGTCACCAAATACATAAACATAGATGTGTTTAACAGCCATGCTTACTTAAATCACCTGTAGAAGGAAGCAATACCTTTAGTTGTAAGTCATCTTATACTTACTAAATGGCTTTTTTGTCCCATATGGCTGTCATGCCACTAATAACTGTCACCACCTTCCACCCAGCCCACCCCACAAGAAACCTGTAATATATGCCTTTTAATATATGCATGTTGCACAGCAACCTGAAATGAAGTCAAGCCAGCCAGCAAATTAGTACTAAAGGCTTCTTACAGGATGACTCCTTAACTCTGGAACTCTTGATTTATTAGTGGGTTACTCTGTGCTGTTAAAAGCTGTAGTAAACCTACAACAGAGCAGACAACAGTCAAGTAGTTGGAAGTTCCTCTATAAAGTTTCTTTGGTAGAAAGGTATTTCAGGTAGGCTTGGAAAACTCTTGTTACCAGATGCTCCAAGATTAGTATTTGCTCAGTGGAAGGCCAAAGATGGTTACAATAGGAAGAAAGCTGTGTGTTTTGTTTGCTTTTTAATTATTGCAAGATGAAATACAGTATGACAGATTCAACAAATGTTTGCTGATGTTATGGTGTTGAAGATGTTCAGGTAAGTTGTGCTCCAACTGCAGTTACCCTTCCTATTTAGATACTCAAGACAGCCAGTTTGACACATTATTATTGGAAAAAATTATATTTTGGAAGAACTCACTACAGAAGGTGACAGAATTCCAAAAATCAAATTACATGAAAATATACATCGCAATTTTCTTTATACATTAGGTGAGGAAAACTCTGAAGTAGAAGGCAAAGAAGATGAAGGGCCACAGAATAGAGAAGAGGGAAAAGGAGGGAAACTATTTTTGATACCAAACCCAGAAGTTAGTCATTTGAAAGCCTACAGATGTGCATGCTTGAACTCAACCTTGAGAAAAAACAAGCCTCCCCCACACACACCCCACCCCACAAACAGGCAATGAGAAAGGCAAAAAAAAAAATAATTATAAATTCACCCATAAAAACAGCTCATTCCTATCTTGGACTAACTTAGTCAACTGAACTTCCAAATGAAAGCGCTCAAGTCCCTTGGAAGTTAAAAATCCAGCAGGCTGCTCAAGGGTGCTCCATGGCCAGTTTTATTGCTATACCCAATTCAAGAAGTATGTGCAATTGGGTTTAAAAAAGGGCTTGGGGGTGGGAAAAAGCACCTTTGAGACTACAAAGGTCATCATAAAAGAAGACACAAGTAATTAACAGCAAATCCTTTCAGGGTTTAATTAAGAAAATTTTAAGTTCTGATGGGGGAAATAAAAGGGAGCACATTTCCAAAAAAAAAAAAAAAAAAGATACTAAACTTTAATAAGCAAGAGATTTTAATTAAGCCTCAGTGGGTCAAAGGAAAATTAAAGAGGGGGGGAAACCAAACAAAAAAAAAAATAACTTTATCCTAATTGATTTTAGTTTGACATGCTTCACAAGTTGTTTTTTTTTTTTTTTTAAACTGCTAGGAAACAATGAACAGGGAGAGAAAAACCTGCTAAAATCTTTAGAATTTACACAATTCTATTCCTAACTACAGACAGCATTATTTGGTACAATGTGTATTTGTGGATGTACATGAACAGTATATATATTATCCGGATCATGTTGTGCTATGTACACATCTTTACAATTCTTCCTGAAGGTTAAAGCAGTTCATTAGATTTCAAAATGTGTAATCATCTTGTGTTGGCACTTGTTAGGCTCTTGTCAGCATTGATAACTGGCATGTTTTATTGCAGCCCAGTTCCAGCCAGTTTGCCAACTTGTAACAACAGAAGTCCAGCAATAGGTGGGTAGAGTGCAGGAAAAAAAACAGTGCCATGTTTCTCAATTGGAGACCTACAAAGAAATAACAAGTATTAAAATAAAACCCCTCACCATCCTCAATTGCTTTAAAGACGTTAAATAGTGTTTCAAGTTCAAGGCAGATAATCATTACTTGTTCTAGAACTTTACATACCTCTAAACAGAAGATGCATAAATCCAAAATCAACACCTGAGAAAGACTTGAGTTAGTTCAGCATACTGTGTATCCATGCTCAACTATCAGGCTCCTGGTACTCATGTTGCTTGTCAAGTGCATAGCATGTAAACATTTGATTATTCACACCTAGGGCTAAACACTTGTAGATTTATCATTGAAACTTCTGTGTATCGCCTACTGTGAATGATGGATGCTGCTTCAACAGCAAAGTGCAGTACAACATGGCACAGCAGTGCTTCATTAAGCAGTAACACCGCAGCTACCAAGTCAGTGTGCTCATTTGAAGCCAGCTATGTGGCCCCTTCTCATCCAATTCATTGCTCATCACTTACTTAGGAGGAGTCACCAAGACTTAGAAAAGCTTTTGCCTTCCAAAAAAACAACATAGCCAATTACTTAAATATTTGTCATGAGCATTGTTTCACTATGGCCAAGTTTAACATGGCAACAGAGCTGAGGTTAGTTAAGGATACTCTGGAGCATTTCTCACAGTTACTCCCTTTCTCTAAGGCAGAAAGAACTGTCAGCTGCATTACAATTCTTACTCTAGTTATAGGCAGTTGTACAAGACACTCGGTTCCTTTCCTTAGTCTTTTGATCAATATTAAGCATTTTTCATGCTTTCACTAATACTGGAGAAAGTTCCACTCAGTCAAAGCATTTCTGCAGAGAAAAGACACTGCAGGACTAGTTTATCACAGATGGAGCCTTCCCCCCACCTCCAACCCCCCCAGTTCTTACAAAAGTATAGGAAAGAAAATATCTCCTGTACAACCTTGGTGAAGAAAAACTAACGGGCAGGAGCATTTAGTAAGTTGTTCAGACAGTACAACCCCTTTAAGCTACATACAGTGCCGTATTTCTCCCTCCCCTCACCCCCAAGTTTTGTATGCAGAAGCTAACTAGTACATATGGTTTTGGGCTTCTCCAGCCAAGTGGGTCAGAGTAGTTTATTTGTCAAACCAACCATTACGGAAAAGGCAGCTTTGACATGAAACTCTGTTTTGCTTTGAAAAGCACAAGTGGGAAATTATTAGCTAGCTGAGGAAGTTTTTCACTGTCATACCAAGATTAAAGTGACCAAAGGCCAGGTATTTAAAGGCCACATTTTAATATAGAGCTTTCTACTTACTGTAAAAAAAAATTTAAAATAAAAGTCCCGTTAAAGCTAGGATGGGATTGTTCAAATTAGAGTAAGTATCTTGAGTCAGAAGCTCATTTTTAACAGGGTGGCATAAAGTATAAATATTGTGTCAGATACTCTCACGTTAAAACTTGTCCAGGCTCTCAGATATGCTACCGTTAAGTTCAAAAGCAGAATATAGCTCTTATTCTGAAGCTATTCCTAAGCTTTCCTCAGTAAAAAAAAGTTTTTTTGGCTGCTGAAGAAAACACCACCTTTCTTGATATTGATGGGTAATATCTCAACTTGATCCCTTCCAATATGCAAATAGGCTTTCTGTTAACATTCCCATAGGTACACCTGAAACAGTCCTTTCCAAATGGTTCCTAACAAACTCTGAAGACTTATTTAAAACCTACATGCAACATGCCACCAACATCTGCAGGGTAAACTCCATATATATATATATGGAGTTCATATATACTTATATATATATATATATATATATGAACTTGAGATAGCAAGACAGGATGCCTTTAAGATTCAAACAAGTGTTCTTCACTACAATGAACATGAAAGAATGATTACTCCCTTCCATTACAGTTCTAGTAACCCCTAAGCACTATTAATAAAGCAGGATGAATACTGATAAAGAGAACTTCAACTTCTGAACAGCATAAATGCAAGAGTACTAGAGAAGTTCCCCGGACTTGGCAAAAGGGGCTGTTACTGCACTTGAAAATTCTTTTAGTCTTTAGTATCACATACAGCCAAAGAACTCCACTGAGATCATGCAGCTGAGTAGAACAGTTTTGGGTTTTTTTGCTTTTGAGGAAAAAAAAAAAAAATTAGTTCAGCAACACTTAGGCAGGAAATCCTCAACTCAGGTAACTGACTGGTCTTTAGAAGGATACTTACCCTGAAAAAAGTGAAGCTACTAGCTGCTGAATAAGTGTCACTCAAAAGCAGTTTCTTGGCTTTTTCTTACACAGCGGGCAACTTTTCTTTTAAATTCTCCATTTCTGTCTTCTCTCCATTCTTTCTGTAATTGAATAGACAGCTTTCAGATGTCAGTCCTATAACAACGTACAAGTTCTAGGAAGACTCCTGGCGTTTATGTTTTCTGACCTTAGCCATCTAGTCAACACCTAAATTTGCCTATAATCATTGAGCTAGTCACTGAAAACCTATGATATTCAGGACTTCTGAAAGCTTGCTCAGAGTTTCCATGCATGCTGCTCACAAGACAGTGAGGACACAGCCTTTGCCCCTTGAATTTTAGGCATTCTCCAAGACTAACCTGGTGGCTACCAACATTTCACAATGTCTACCCTGAAATCTATTTACTTCAGCCTGCAAAGTAGCCACAAGCTCAAACTATAAACCACAAGCTACTGTTACAGGTTAGAGAAAAGGTCTTTAACTGCAGTGATGAAAGAAGGTACACAGCTACTATGGAGCCAGTAGTTATTCTGAGATTTCTAAGACAGTTTCAACTCCCTTTCAATCCAGACAGAACACTCCAGGATAGAAATACATAAGTCACAGTTTCCAGAGGAGGCACAGCAGTATCCTTAGAAAGAAAACACGTCCTAGTTAGATACAGCTGCAAGATACTGGCTCCACAAGAAAGACCTTAACAGAATACTCAGCACACTGATGGGGATGGTCTCTGTGACAGGTATCTGATTTCAGAACTGCATAGATGAAGAACAAAGATAAAGATGAACAGGAAGATAGGCAAGAGGTAAGTCCGAACCCCTAGGTGTGCACACCATGGTATCATGAAAGCCCACAGGAAAAAGTGAAGGCCAGTTTTAAGTTTTTTGCACCAGCCTCATGACAAGCTCAGATGAAAGCATAGGAGCATCATAAGATGTAACTGAGGTTGACGTGTTGGGTACTGCCTTACACTGGCAAGAAGTGGTAGGAAAATATAAAGAACCCCTTGTTTCATGAAATAAGTTTTACAGTTCTTGGGTTTTGATATAAGCAACATAATCTTACTGCAGGGGTTAGGGAAGGGGTTAAAAAGAGAAGCAACACACACACAGTTTTATCTGAAGCAACCCAGAAGCAACAACTCCTCACCCCCTAGTTGGAATAAAGTTTGTAGCACATCTCAGTGAGAAAAAACTAGAGTAACTGGCATATCCTACCATTCACCACCTCCAAGCTCACCTAGCCAGTTCGCATGTTAGAAAGCCTAGCATGTCTTATCTTTCCAGTGAAAGCACAAATAAGGCCACTAATTAATTTGCTTTTTCAGCAATTAATACAGCAAGCATTTGGTTCCTTGGATTGGGATATAGTACAGCTTACACAAGATGATTTAAGGCCAAGAAAAGCACTGAATTTGTGCCCTCCTAAGCTTCAGATTCTTAGTTTTGGTTTCTATCTTTTACATGTGTAGTTCTATGAAGCACGTGGTCAGAAATGAGTATCAAGCAAAGTTTCCAATTTGTCAGCAATCTCTCCAAAACTCTTATCTGAGGTCATGAACTGTTTTGCTTCTCTCAGTATCTATTTAAGCTCCAATCCCTCATTTTTCTCCCACTCCAAGACAGTACTCCAACATTTTGTCCACGAAGCATGAATATCCCCTGCTCCTATAATGCTGTGACCTGCCTGTAACACCTTATTCTCTAGACTCATTTAAAACTAGAAATTAATGAAAGCAAAATAAATTAATGAAAGCAAAGAAAAGTATCTTCGTAACTGCCAAATACTACTGCTGCAGTAAACCTGTACTTCGTAAACCCAAGTAGAAGACATCTTGATAGCAGCTCAGAATAAAGCACGAGCTGCTGATTCTTCACTACCCTGATGAGTATGTTCTGGTTAATATGAATAGGATGCAATCTACAACCCAGCAGGAGATGCTAAGCTGCTCAAGCAGCACATTAGGTTTAAAAGTTACTTAGAACATCTAATACCACAGTCAGAAAAATAATTCCTAGCATCCAATGTGATGCCTCAGTACTGTCTTCACAGTCAAATTTGGATTTAAGTTTTTGTTCTTTCAAGCTGGGCTAGAAAATGCTGTGTTTCCTTAAGACATTTTCAACCTTTACCCTAAGGTTTACCTAAACAAATTCATAGTTTTCATCTCTCTCCGAAGGAAAAAAAGGGGGGGGGGGAAATACAATTCCTGAAGTAGCTGGCAGAGTACGCAGCACGATACAGAAAGATTAAAAATCTTGTGATGCTAGGAAGGTGACAGGCATAGCTATAAGTGTAAGATTTCTCCAGTGTTAGGGCAGCTACATTCAACATACATGAGTTTGTAAACTGAGAAATTCTAATTGTACTTTTAGCATTTCATTAATAACTTGCTCCTTCCAATGCTCTCAGGTTTGCCAGCAGAAAATGTCCATGTGTCCTGGGGTATTTTTTTCCACCAGTAACATGATACAAGAAGGGGAGGTCCAACACTCAACATTAAAGGAGGGAATTCTTCTCTACAACTTTTTGTGTGCGTTTGGTTTTCTTCCCATTAAGTTTGTTCCATGTGAGACTATTCTCATGATGATTTCTCAGCAAAGCTCAACCACCTTTGGAAATACTAACAGCATAGTAGATCAAAGGCTTCAGGAAACTGAACTCCCACCCACTTGTGGAAGGTACAGCTATAGAGTAGTTAACACTCATCTAGAAAACTTTGCATCTTTTGATTACCATCTCCCTTTTCCCACTCCCACAGTTAAAAGACCTAGAACTTCTCTTTTGTGAGAGGACAGCACATATTAGTCACTGCGGAACTGCAATTCAAGAGTAATTCAAAGAAAAGTATGTTGGCATATCTCAGATGAATGGGGCCTGAAGTCTGTTCCCCTACTCACACATAGAACTGGGAATTTTCTCCCTCCCCACCACAAATAGTTATTAGTCTAATTGCTATTCTGCTATAAACGCAGCTCTTCGAGAGCTGATAGCTGTGTTTACACACCCACACAGAACAGGCCATGCTCCAGAATCACTATGCTGCATGAAACGCTTGCATCTCACTTATGACAGAACCCTTACTGCAGATTCACCCTGGTCTTTGACTATAAACCAGGCCAGTCTTCCTCACTCTTAGCCAGTCATTCTAGTCTGGGACAACTTCCAGAGCTGAAGGCCAGATGCCCAGTGAAGACATCAAGTGCGTTCTCTAAGCACAGACCTACAGTCAAACCTTCTGCTTTAATCCACGATCCAGGAAGACTGCTGTCGAGAGGTAGATGCAAAACGTCACAACAGAATTATACTGAGGGTTTCTCCCTCCATTCAAATCAATAAATCTGTTAACAGGCTATGTAATTTCCAAAACAAAAATTTTGGTGCATTATACTAACATACTAGGAACTAGAGAAGGTTCCAGAATACGTTAACTTCTGCAGCTAAATTTGATGGCCATTGTAACCACTATGCCACACAGCATTTTACAGCCAGCTTCCTCAAATTTTTTAAGACTAAAGGCGCTGAAGTTTATCCATTAAGTATCTCTGTGCACAAGTTATTTACTATAAATAAATGCATTATTGCATAGGAGAAATTAAACCACTGCCTATGAAGTCCAAACAGCATCTTTCCTTTGCAACCTGTAAAAAACTGCCAGGGCTAAGTAGTAATTCTGTTTCACAACACGACTGCTTTTCCTAACAAAAAGGTAGCCTTAGACTGCGATATAAAAGTTTCTTTCAAAAAGGTACTGTATTGTTTGTCAAGTTAGCAGCAAGACTCCATTGCAAGTTTAGGTTTCTACATTGAAGACAACTGGCAGACCAAAAAGAAAAATCTTACCGCTGCATCAACATTAGCAGGAGAATCACCATTGGGATCTGCCAGCATAGAAATAACACTAATCATTATAGTTTCCACTGTGTGAATGGGAAGCCAGCGTTCCTCAGGTTTTTCATAGCCATATTTGTCTTCTCCAGGCTCATGAAGAATTGAAATGCAGACATCGCCGTTCTTGTCAACTACAAAATAGAACAAGGCATATTTCAGTAATGAACAACATGCTGGCATTTCTTCAGGATAGTTATAGAACTGTTCTCTTCACTAACATGTTTTCAGACTAGCTGGAGTGAAGATTACTTCATAAAAAAAGGAAAGTAATTAACTATTACAAAACTCAGTCTGTAATAAATAGGGCTTGGAAGTCTGTTATTATGCCTGGACTTCTGGCAGAGGGCACATGGGGAGGAAAAACTTAATTCTAACATCATGCTGCAATTTTCAAGACTATTTAGATAGGCTTCCACTAAAGCTTTTTCTGTTAAGTTTAGCAAACTAGAGTGACTTTTTTCCACAGCAACAGCATCAGCTGGATGTTACTGCAGTATACTGGAATATCATTTAAGCTGCTGGAATTAGAAACTGCCTGACAAGTACTCTGATATTTCCAGAGCTGCAACTGACACAGCATCAAAATGTTCCCTCCATCCCTTCTGATGGGAGCACTGTGCTGGCCCCCCAGCTTCCAACAATTTCAATAATGACTTTAGAAACTGAAGAGCATTCCTTCTTCCCAGTAAAAATCTTCTTCCAGTTTATTTTACCTTCCCATCAATGTCCTGCAGTCCATAAGTAAATGAAACACTAGAAGGAGTCTTCTTTGGAGGGACTAAAAGATGCTGTTATTTCCTTTCATGCTTCACTGGAGGATAACCTTAGGCCTTCTACACTGAACTGCCAAGTCAGTAATACTAAGATGAAACACGTGAAGGTATAACAACAGGCAGCTATAGAAGTCAAGTTTCTCCTCAGACCAGAATTTCTCACTTAGGCGAAAGGAAAAAAAAAAGAAATCCCTGAACAGTTACCAAGAATTCAAGATGCTACTTTCAGTAGCTTCTGAAAATACTTTAGGAGCAGTCTCTCAGAGCAGCACTATTAAAAACTCTGCCATGGTTATTACTTCTTTATGAAGATGGCAAAGTAAATGCAGAGTTTCACATTTCTAACATGAACAGAAGTGTATCCATTTGTCTTCACCCCATTTCAGTTCTTAATTGCAAAAAGAAATTTAAACTTTGACATTTCTTACCATTTGGATGCCAGATTTCTGTGATGAATTTCATTTTTGGCGGCCTCAGTGGATAGTCTTTTGGAAAAGTAAGATGAGCCTTGAAAACACCACCTTCACTGGGGAATCAAAAATATCTTAGTAGAGTTTCTTGTAAGCTTAAACTGAAGATTGGAACTTATTGATATATCAAAAGCTCTAAGTTTACCCCTCACACAGCTTAACATGCTGCTGGTAATTAACAGTACCAACATTTCTGTATGCAACGTAAAGAGTTTCTAGATTGAGAAGATCCTTTCACAAGATACTGCCAGTTCTCCACCACTCTATCTTTTTTAGAATTATGATGTTCCAGAGGTGAAAAAAAAAAAAAGAAAAAAACCCCAACAAAACAACACACACACAAGAGCTTAAAAAAAAAAAAAAAAAAAAAAAAGCCAGAAAACCCCCAAAACTGCCAAGGAATTCACCATCTGAAATTATAACTTACATTTTTACTCCCAGTACATTTATTAACAGCCAAAAAAAAAAAAAAATACGGCCAATAACTTCCCTTCTCAAGTACAGCAGCCCAAATATGTTTTTATTTTCCTCCTTTAGAAACGTCAGTCCTAATTTCTTGGTATCAGTCTGCAGCAGTGAACCTCAGTGAAAAAGTTACAGAAAGCTTTATGCATCTACAGCATTACTTTGTAAAAAGGCTTCCAATACTACCTTTTCAACACTAAGTTAAAGGGACTCAGACATGACAGTGAGGCATTCTGCATTATGGTTACCCACTAAACAAAAACAATAATAAACAAGAGATACCTAGTTTTTATGTGGAGTTACAGGCCCATATTTAACTAAGGTAACAGTTTGTTGGCTTTTTTTTTTTTTTAAATAGCTAGGTTTCAATATCCAGGAATAGTCCCTTTTGAAAAAAATGTGAAGGCCTGTATTACATGGTAAGCCTTATAGATGGAATACTTTGCTAATATAAGTACTATAACATATGCCCTGTTACTGTCATTTCTTGTAACTGAACTTTGTAATAAAATTTGAAATTGCAAAGGCAGACATTAAAAAAACTGGAACATAACTTCCAAAAGAAGGTGGCACAAGATGTACAGTATGACAAGCTACTCCTCAGTAGCCACGCAGGCAAGAGATTCAGCATAGAAAAGACAAAGCTGTTCAGTGAATTTTTTTCCTCTGTATTTTTGAAGGAACAGGAGCCAAGATCCAAAGCCCCTAGGCTATTAAGAACACAAGTTTTACCACCACTAACCAAAGGGCAAAATTCTAGCAAGTGTCTCAAAAAAAACCCAAACCCAAAAAGCACTAGATCTAAGTGAACTTGTCTCTTAAAATAAAGCAGCTGAGGGAACCTGAACCCACAGCATTTAGTTCTCCCAAGTTTTAGAAAAGGCAGGCAGTTTCCAAAGAATTCTTATCCTGATAAGGGTAAGAATTCCAGAAACACTATTTTAACATCCATACTACTCAAGACAAAGGAGAATTAGATTACATTTGTTGATAGCCCCAAACCAGTTAAGTCCTTTCATTCAAAGTGGGAAAGTTCTTTCCATTTTTAAAGAAACAGATCCTAAATCCTACTAGGCTGTACAGCATCCCTTTGCCCCTCATCAACTACACATAAACACAGCTCTTTTAACTGAATACACATTAGAAACCAGTTAACCAAATACAGCTGTCCATTAAGGGAGATCAGTGCCATTTTTAGCAATATTCCTGATAAAGGGGTCTCTGCCAGTAGAGTCATGCACTGAGTCTAAAGTCTTTTTAAGTAAACTCAGAATAAATAAAGTGGGACCAGGAATGAAACTGAAGTTTGAAAATTTTGAACTGTCTGGTTGAACTATAATGTTCTACTACGATCATAAAACAGATCCGGAGAAATAGGATTCCATATAATACTATCCTGAAAAGCAGCAACTAGGGACTGGAACAAAAGAGAGCTTCTTATCTAAAAAGCCTCAAAAAGAGCTTAGCACCTTGTTGAAGAGGGGAAAAAAATGCTCTTGTAATTTTCAGCACATAAGAGGTTCAATTAGGAATTGTATTTCTTTACTGACAAGCTTTATAAAATGGTCATGAGAATATAATGAAGCCACTACAAGACTGTTCAGAAGAGGTCAACAGAAGTTGGAGAACTCATCTCCTGCAAGACTTGAGAATCACAATGTAGCGAGCTTGAGGAGAAGCAAACCAATTCAATTACTGTGCTTCAAGTACTTTTCAGAAGTGTGCAGACAGAGGTACACAACTTCATGTTGGAACTAAAATTGACCTCAAGTAAATGTCATTAGGTTTTTTTATATCTGTAATTTACCACTGGAACAGCTTAATCAAGAACAGAGTTCATCTTCAAGAGCTACACTTTAAACTGACCTCTTCTGGGCATTGAAACTTTTCCCAGGAGCTAGAGTAGATCATATATAACCTCTATGAGAAAGAAAAATTGTTCTCTCCATTAGAGAGAGCTCTTTTTGTTAATAAAAAAAATGATTAATAAAACAACCACATTGCATGTGCCAGAGTGCTTCAGGTATATATAGCAGTGCAAAAAGACAGCAAACTTGGAAGTCCAGGTCAGTAAGTGTATGATCTCCATAGGTTTTTGTTCAAATGACAATTAAAGAACCCAGTCCTTAGGATAAAGACAGAAGTTTTTTGAAGCCCACTGTGCAAGGTTTGCCAACAATTCAAATTTTATCAACACTGAAGTACTCTAGGTCACACTAAAAAGTTCTCCAATCTCAAATGACAGGACTTGAGGCTAATTCTATGGTCTGGTGCGGTTTCCCCAACCGCAGCCTTCCTGAGTATTTCCTACAATCACCAGCATTTAGTTGCAATGGTTTAAAACTGTACTATCAGCTAACCTAGAGCCTCACAGAAGTAACAGCAAATGGTGGATTATACCCGCCTTACTTAAATGTGTAGGAAAACAGAAGCTGCCTGTAAGTGTAGCCTATTCTTTCTCAATTCTACAAAAGTACAAAGGGTTCAGTGTTGTATTTTCCTAGGGAAGCAAAGCAGTGTAGAACTTCTACATAGCAAATTCATCTATTTACAGGTATTTTACTAACAACAGAACAGCATTACCTAACTTAGTATGAAAAATTAGGTTAACTTCTACTCACCTAGACCAAACTAAAACTAGTAAATCAGAGTTCACTTAAGTTTCTGTATAAGTATCAGTACTTACTATAGTGTATCTGGAGGACCAATAATAAGGACTTCCCATCGATAAAGATCATTGTCATCTATTAAGCCCGCTGAAAAGCCTTCCACTGGATTTTTGTTGAGCTCTGTGTAAGAAAAAGAATTTAACAGTGACTTTAGGTGTCTATGATATTAATTCACTGGTTTTGCTCATGCCTATACGTGACCAAAAAACCCCATGACTTTCAGTGATTTGGCACCTTCTGATGGATTTACCGCTTGGGGAGTATCCTCAACTCCCTACCCCATACAACAGCATGCTGCCAGAGCAGAGACCCATAGTCAGACTCTAAAAGTAAGTACATCATGAACAGAAGGGCCAAAGTAACTCAGAACTGTTGGACATGGTCTCTTAAACTAGATACTAATAGGTGTGTGTGCAAGTCAGAAAACAGATTTTCTACTAATAAAAAAGCTATACTGTTTTATAAAAAACCCTGGGAAGACAGATTAAAGTCTATCTTTAACTCTAGAAAATGTGAACAGAAGAACAAAGTCACACTGTTTTTATTTAAAACTAACATCCTACTTCCCTTCATTTATTTTTTTTTTTTCCCCCCAGAATCTGAAAGCATTTGAGACCTATTCCCAGTGCATTCCGGAGATAATGACTTACTATATTCTGAACTACAAGAAAACAACACAGAAGGTAAGCTGTTATGCTGTTTAGGTTTTGGGGTCATTTTTTTTAAATATTTTTGTTTGTTTCACAGTTTTACCCACTAGTGATAAGTAAAAGTGGATTCTAAGTTTATAGGCTACTTCATACAGGTGCTGTCACATAGAAAGCTTATCTGGCATTAACTATGCAGAAGTCAGACCTAGATGTAGACTCCACTGACTTTATTTTCAGCCTATTTCACGAAAAAGCATAAGATTTGGAAATAAACACCCCAAATGAGTTCTGCCTAAAATGCAACTTGGGCAGCAAGAGGTGGGGAAGAAGAGGGAAGCAGAGAACATCTCTTAACCAATAGCTTTGGGTCAAAAACTAATTTAAATGCCATATTGATGCCAAATCGAAATTCTTAATCCCACATTTCCAACAGTACATACAAAGTCCCGACGGATCCTGAGTATACAGGATGGGGGAAGGGGAGAAAAAGTTCTTCCTTCAACTACTCAGTAACTTGTAGATTAAATTAGGGATTGTTTCATTTGTTTTACAATTACTACTGCATTTATTTTAAATCCTGTCAGACATTATACAGCCCTCATTATATTCCACAGTACAATTAGTTTACACCTTCCCTTTTTGTAAACCCAATAGCTGTATTTTGTGTTAATTTCTAGGCATTACAGACAAATTCAGAGGTCCTTATAATGCCCTCAGGTACATGCAGAAGAACTTCACATGAAAACCTCATACCTTTATGGAGAAAAGGCTACTGTTAAGTCTAAACTGATTTGCCCATAAACTTGCAGTTACTGTTTCACAGTTAAGCTCTTAGCTATTTAAAGCATGGTTAAAAAAAAAATGCAGGCAGCAGCAATTCAAGTCCTATACAGATGAGTCTAAGTCCACACAGGGAAAAGAAAGCACTCAGTTCACGTGAAGGACCGAGGTCCTAAAGAGGAGGATAGCAGGAATACCAACTTCGGCCATTGCTAATTCAGAGTCAAATTTATCCACGGAGATGACTCAACGCTAAAATCCCAAGAAATGTATTGGAAGGGCTCTTCTTAGAAGCTACTCAGCAAGAGTTCAGCCAACAGATGAGGTCAACCGTTCACTCTCCCAAGTTGCAGGGCAAAGACTGAGGTATTGAACCAAATCATGTTTTCTCAAGACAATAACTGAAACAAAAGGTATTATCACAGGCTATTTAACCAAGATGCTAGTTTCAAAACCAAAAGCTACAGCATCACCACACTTCCACTAAGCAGACCAGTTTTCACCCTCTGGCATCTATGAAACTTTGTAGAAACAGGTCCATGAGTTTGAGTAACAGTTCTATTTACTTGTAGGTGCAGGGGTCAAAGAGACTAGGTAAATGTCTCACGTGAACTGAGGACTTCACCAGTCCCTTACTACCTCCCTACTACAGACATTCCTCCAGTATCAGATATTAAAAGTTCTACCACATTAGTAGCTGAATATAACCTGCTTTTTCATGCAGGAGTTTAAAATTGTCTATTGCTTGTGCAAAAAAGCCACCTCTGTTCAGGACATTTAAGTCATCCTTTCAGATATAGTAGTATTGTAATACAGAATATCCAGCATAACAGCTACCGAAGTCAACAGGAAGAATCAAATATTAGAGTAACTCACCTTAAGGCTTTCAAACTTGAATTTAAGCCTCCAAAACACAAGTTCCCTCATTTCTGCATTTCCACAGGGAGAAAAGCGTTTATGCCGAGTTCTGTATAAACTGCTGTAACTCAAGCTGCTCACATTTAGCTTCCTTATTGTTTGCTAGTTACCACTTCTCAGTGATAAGACTGTAAACAAGCCCGCCAGAAGTTAAGACTAGAAAATTCAGCATGCATCTCTATCTAAATATACCACACTATTTAAGTCAAACATAGACATTTTCTTCTATATTTCTTGATTCGTACTATTTCAATTTCTTTTTACATCTTTCTCAGCCTTCAAATAACTTTTTTTATCCTTAAATCCTCTGAAACATTTTTCATGTACTTGTTCCCATTGAAAGCCAGCTCTTACACTCTGACTCATACGTAAGACCCTGCAGCACTATATTGCTACAGATCTTGGGAGAAGGAATAAGATTGCTGGATGCCAACTCTTGTAATGCAGAAAATCTGTAAACTGTATGAAAGGGACAGCCATTGACAAAAATCTTCAGCTACAGCAGTTATGGAAATTTGCTCAGTGGATGTTGTCTATTAAGCAAATTATGAAGTTACTTCTTTTACAGGAGGTGCAATCAGTCTCTGCTTGTAAAAGGTACTCATTTTCCTTCCATTGTAGCAATACTGAAGCATAGTTCAAATAGCTACTGCTTGCACAAATACTTTAACTTGACGTAAAACAATGGATACGTGCTGAAGCACCTTCTCCACTAAAGGTATGTAGAATTACCATAGGGAAGTTAAAATCAGTTTTTTCCATCCAGATTATTTATGCTAACCTGAACATCAACTAATGGCTGGTTGGCAGACAAAAAAGGAAATCTCAAGAAAGTTTTGCACTGGGACATGAAAAACAAGCAGCTATCATCCTTGGCTACTTTACGCCGGATAGGTAAGAGCTGCTAACTCATTAAAACTTGCAAACACTAAACCCTAGTGTTTGTTTGTTTTTTCCCCTGGATGTAGTTAACTAGTAGTACCACCTGTCTCTTACCTATCTCTTCATGAGCTGAGCCACACAGTGCTGAAATCCATGCACCCAAATCCCAAATAGAGGTGCCTCCCTGGCAAGAAAGGAGCAGACATTCTACGCTAACAGGCACAGAAGCTGCAGCTGGGCAGAGGGACCGGAGCCCACCACCCGCCTCTGGTGACGCTGACCCTGCGCCCAAGGAGACACCTGTTCTCTGCATCTGTCATTTCCTACCAACTACTGCAGTTAACTACTTGCGGCCTGAATAGCACTTTTCCCAGACAACCAGAGATGATGAACGTGCTTCAGAAAGCAAAGGATTCAACTCCCTTCTCCAAGCAGGGAGAGGGGGAACAAGCTCTTGGTGCGGGTCCTCTACAGAGCCCCATTGAAGAGCTAGCCTACAAGTCCTAGGAAAGTAGACAAGTCAGACACCTATAAAGAACCAGATCCCTCCACACTACTTTTTGCACTTAGCTTTTCTTTTAGATTTCTTCTTTAGCTAAAGATATGCTGTACTTTTAAAACGTACATGAGTACATTAACACATTTCCATCAAGTCCATGCCTATAGTGCAATTTACTTTCTACTACTACATATTACACTCCATGGTTTAGCATTTCTGCCAGTATTTTCTGCATTTCTGATAGTAAGCTACAATAGAAATTTTTCTTCCCAGAGAAAAAAAAAAAAGTTTCTTACATTCAGTCTATAAGCAGTTTCAGGTAGAGTCCGTCACAGCTCCAGCAGTGGCCGACAGCCAAAGCAGCACAAACCTGGACAGCTGCCAAGCAACAACATACTGGGAACAGAATCCTGTGGCTGCTTATAAATTAGACATTCAATTCCTTTAATCCCAGTCCTGAACCAATACCTGATTTGGGAGGTGAGGAAGACTAAAGGCCCATAATCCAACAGAGTTGTTTAAATCCAGAACAGACTTTAATGTCCAACGCTTCCCTCCTACACGATCTGCCAACACAACACACCGCTCCTTTCACAGTTTAGCTCTTACTAAAGCAGAACTAAGTTACCGTTGCCTTAAACTTGAGCCAACACCATACCATAAACTGTGCTCCCAGTTTCAGTGTTTAGCTTACACCAAGCTACTGATGTTCCCACACTCACTAAAACTGCCTTTATATAAGCCAAGAGACTTTTACCAATCCAAAAGCAAAACAGCGTCAACAAAAATGACTAAGCAGAAAGAGCCCCATGGCTCCACACAGCAGCTATGTACGGCATCTAAACTGTTCAGCTTGACATTCCACCCAGCCAGCCACTGCGAACACTTCAGAGTATTTTAAGTTACATTACAAAGCATAAAAAATTATAAAAAGCCTTCAAAAATATAAGCTTCTACATAATTTTTAATAGTAGCCTCTTTAGTAAGTTATACAGTGGTTGACTTTTGTGCAGCCAGTGGATGGAGTCCAACACAGAGATCGGACAGCCGACATCCTAGCTAAGGCTTCTGGAAAATTCATCTAGCTGACTTGCACACAATTCCCAGAAGAAGCAGGCCATATCAGAGCTTTACATTTGCTATACACAAGGCTTTTTTTTTTTTTTTTTCCTTGATTGCTTTTTGTGAGTCTCAGCACTAGTCCAGGAGCTCCTAACAACTGTACAGACTGAAAATCCTCATTTTTGGACTCTTCTCCATAGCCCAAACTATGACTTCCACACAGTTATGTTACTTAACTGAGGACAGTTATGATTTCCAATTCTTTCCTTTCTGCCTGTATACCCAGCTGTAAATCTCTGATTGTAGATTAGAGCTGAGATAATGATAAA